AGGACAAGAAACTTAAGAAAAAAAAGTGGAAAGTAAGCATAAATTAGAAGAACATTTTTTTTTTAACAATAATTGGGAGTAATCCATAAGGATTTACTCTTTTTGAAGATGATTGATCAATAACAATGAATTCTTTGTTTGAGGGGATAAAAAAAGTGTAAAAAGGAGTTTCTCATATCAATATACAAATTAAAAAGTAAATTTGTTTCAATTTAAAATTTGATTTGAGAATTTTGGTTAAATTTACTTTTGATGTTCGGGTTCTTGGAAAAGGATAGGGGGACATGATTATAATATTAATGGATTAGATGTAAAAGACGTGTATTACATAGATATGTTAAGGAAAATAAAATATTAAAATATTAAAATAAGTAATTTTTAAAATAAAATTTTGAAATAAAAAATGAAGAAATATATTAATTGCATTTATTATAATATTTATTACATTTGATATTTTACAAATATATTAGATGGCTTTTTAATTTTAAAAATTGAAAAAAAACCATAAATTGATATATAAACATTATTTATTTAAAAATATTATAAAATGATAAGTATCAAAACTTATTAGAGATTGAAATGTGACAAAAGAATCTTCATATATTATGAACGACTTATGGTTTCAAAACAAAAAGTATAATGAATTTTATTTTAGGGGAAATATGACAAATTCTATTTTACGGACAAAAAAGGAAATAAGAAAAACGATAAACTATATCCATAATTATATATATTAATTTATAAAATATAAGTAATTAGGATACAAATTTATAAAAATCTGGCTTTCTTAACATATAAGTGATTAAGTTTTACAAATTTATAAAAATTGAACGTATATATCACAAAAAACATATGCAGAAAGCACCCAGTGGATTCATGCTATGACCAAACGGTCCTTCGCTCTCCATTCCACAAACAAACTCCTTTCCCACCACCTTCGTTTCACCGTCGCCAGTAGAACCCTCAGCACCTGCACATCATGGAACACCCAGCTCCGGGAGCTAACAAAAAACGGAAACTATCAAGAATGCCTCAATCTCTACCGCCAAATGCTCCGATCCGGTGCCTCTCCAAACGCATTTACCTTTCCCGTTGCTCTCAAGTCCTGCGCCGTTCTATCTCTCCCAATCTCAGGCACACAGCTCCACAGTCACGTCATTAAAACAGGTTGTAACTCAGAACCCTTCGTGCAAACGGGATTGATTTCTCTCTATGGGAAATGTTGTTTTATCGAAGACGCACGCCAACTGTTCGACGAAAGTCCACACTCCCAAAAACTGACAGTTTGCTACAATGCTCTGGTTGCTGGGTACACTCGAAACAATCAGTTTCAATCCGGGTATGAATTGTTTCGTCAGATGAGGTTTTTGGGTGTTCGCGTTGATGCTGTCACCATTTTAGGTCTGATTCCTGGTTGTACCGATCCTGGAAACTTGAAATTCGCTGAATCTCTACACTGTTTCGTGGCTAAATCTGGACTAGACAACGACTTCTGCGTCGGGAATTGTTTGCTTACAATGTACGTTCGATGTAATTCAAATGAACTTGCGAGAAAATTCTTCGATAACATACCTGTGAAACAGCTAGCCACCTGGAACGCTATGATCTCCGGATACGCACAAAACGGATACGCCACAGAAGCTCTGGAACTCTACTCAAAATTCGAATCATCAGGTATGGAACCTAACCCTATAACACTCGTTGGAGTTCTTTCATCTTGTGCTCATCTTGGAGCCCAAAAAATCGGTATGAAAATAGAAAAGAAAATACAAACCAGTAGCTACAAACACAACATTTTCTTGAACAACGCTTTAATTAACATGTATGCTAGATGTGGAAACCTAGTAAAAGCCCAAGAGCTTTTCGATACCCTAACAGAAAAAAATCTAGTATCATGGACCGCGATTATAGGCGGATACGGTATGCACGGGCAAGGCGAGACCGCGGTTCATCTTTTTAACGAGATGATACGGGCCAACATTAGGCCCGATGGGCCGGTTTTCGTTAGTGTATTATCTGCGTGTAGTCATGCTGGATTAACCGATCTAGGGTTAGGTTTTTTCAATGCAATGACAACAAATCACGGGCTAAATCCGGGCCCAGAACATTACTCGTGTGTAGTGGATCTTCTGGGCCGGGCGGGTCGACTTGGTGATGCTCACAACATCATTAAGACAATGCCAATGGAACCCGATGGAGCGGTTTGGGGAGCTCTTTTGGGTGCTTGCAAGATCCATAAGAATGTTGACTTAGCTGAGTTAGCGTTTGACCATGTGATTAGGCTTGAACCTGAAAATATCGGTTACTATGTTTTGTTATCGAATTTATACACGGAAGTTAATAACATGGAAGGAATATTAAGGGTTCGAGTGATGATGAGAGATCGAAGGCTTAGAAAGGGCCCCGGGTATAGCTATTTTGAGCATAAAGGTCGGGCTCATGTTTTTGTAGCAGGTGATATGAATCATCCAGAGAGTGAGGAGATATATGTGATGTTGGATAGACTTGATGATTTGGTGAATGTGTCATCTAGGGGTGAAAATGGGTTTGTTCATAGTGAGAGATTGGCGATTGCGTTTGCGTTATTGAGTACTGAAATTGGGGAGGAGATTGTTGTGATAAAGAATTTAAGGGTTTGTGGTGATTGCCATTTGTTTATAAAGTTGGTTAGTAAGGTTGTGGATCGTAGATTTGTTGTTAGGGATCCGACTCGTTTTCATCATTTTAAAGATGGGGTTTGTTCGTGTAAGGACTATTGGTAAGCTTATTACTTAGTCTATACAATAGTAATTTACTTTTATTTATTTTTTGTATTATAGCACCCTACCTCTGTTTCATTCTATTACAACGTTGTACTTTGATTTCTTTCTAGGATAATATCGAATGATACATCTTGTGTTACATGGATATTTTTATCGTTATCAATAATATTCATTCCATTACTTGTTTCTTACCTACCACACGACATGAGTTAATGATTCAATTCATTCCACCGAAGTAACTAAACATAAACATGACCATGGAATGGTAATGATCCATTCACTTACCATGTCGTGTTATTCAATCCAATCAAACAAACTCTGATTGCTTTTAGTAGATTCTAATAATTGACATTACCATAGTTCAAATAAAAATACAATTTTGTCACATCTAAAAAATATGGGACAAGAACTTTCGTTGTGCAAAAGACCATATTTTAGGTGTTGTATGTTTTTTCGAAGCGAAAATGTTTGAAGTCTGCGGACCACCTCTGCAGCAGAAAAGGTGGATCAAAAGGATGCAAAGTGTAATAAGAAGCGTTTGTTTGTTTAACATCTGCAAACTGCTGTATATATTAAAAAATTAAAATAAAGTGATTTAATAAACCGGAAATAGTTTTTCAATACAGAAAATTTAATAATTGTAGTCTTAAAGCATTGAAATAAAATTAATACAATAAAATTAGTCTTACAATAACATTTTTAAATAAAATTTATATAACGAAAACTAGTCTTACAATAACATTCTAAATAAAATTCATGCAACCAAACTTTAATAATTCTGATTTCATGTTTTGCATCAATTGCTTGGCAATTTCATCATGTAACTGGGTCATATATTTACGGCCCGTTGCAGTACCATGTGCTAAATCTCATATTCATCATTATCAACGACTGCATTGTTATTCCAAACCAAGACATTTGGTTCATCATATCGTGCAAGGGTAATGTTTCGTTATGTAACCAACGAGAATGGTGTCATCCTCTTCAATATAGCGAATCGTGCTTTTAAGACACCAAAAGCACGCTCAATAACATTCTGAAGTTTTGCGTGTGCATGGTTAAATTTCTCTTTATTCGTTAATGCACTTCTTCGACGAAAATCTCCAAGCCAATACCTCACATTACGATACGGTGCAATAAAACCTCGAATGTTTGCATAGGCGACATCACAAAGATAATATTTATCTGTAAAAAGGGAAAAAAATATAAATAAAAATCATTTCTTTTTCAAACTAAGATAAATGTATTTAAATAACCATAAACTTACCTGATGGTGGTAACGAGAATGGTGCATGTGGATTTGCTAATTCTTCTGATAATATTCTAGACTCGTGTGCTATTCCTTCCCAACTGGCCACAACAAACGTAAACATCATGTTGAAGTAACATACTGCCAATACGTTTTGGTAAGAATCGTCTTTTCCCCTACTTCTATATAAATCTCGTTTGTTTGCACGGACAACATCATGTATCAAAGTACCATCAAGTACACCAACTGCTCCTTTGAACACCCGTCGTAGCCTCCTATTAATTATGTCCCGGAATGTTTGGATTCAGGTTAAAAGAAGTTGGTACTATAATGTCATGTGCGAAAAGCAACATTTTGTTCAACACTTCATGAAAAACAACTTATGCATTGTTTGCTTTGAGTGTTGAAATCTCCGCTTGATAATCAAATAACGTTGTTTATGACCGATCATCATAAAAAACATAGTCATCTTCTCATCAACCGATACATGTTTGCTATCCTTTAACGCGTAGTTTACTCTAAAATGAGCACAGAGTCGGACAAATGATTCACGGGACATGCGTAGTACTTCAACACATTGTAGAGGATTACTGTGAAGTAACTCTAATGTAAATTCATTTCCCGTCATTTCCGAATCGTTTTCCCGCACTCGTTTGACACCCCTCTTCCAAAAGTAGCGGACGTACAAGTACATTAGAATTATGAGAAGTATCTTTTTGTCGTGATCCATTAGAAACCTATTAATCAACACAAATACCAAATAACATAAAAATAAAACTCAAGTACCAACTAACATAACATAAGATTCAAGTACCAAATAAAATAACATAAAACTCAAGTACAAAATAACATAAAACACAAGTAACAAATAAAATAAAGTTCAATTAACAAATACTACAAATAACATTCAAGTAGCAAATAACCAAAAAAACATAACCACATAGTTCCAACACATGCAATTAAAACATAAACAACTCAAACATATAAACTTAACGAACAATCTTTATATCCTTTAAAACTCCTAAACTTGTAGCAGCTGTCATCTCGATCCATCCTCTTAATATATGTGGATCATTGGGCAAATTTACCCACATCTCTCTTATATTCATGGTCTCTCCAAAAATGTGATACACGGCAAATTGTAGAGGGTCTACTGGGCCTAAGTCGAGCAACTCAAGCTTCTCTAAACATTGGGGAATTGTTGGCCCTTGATTCAAATGGCATAGAGCTTTTTGCATCTCCAGTGCTAGATCATCAGTAGTAATAGAAGTTTAGGTGAGGCACTAAGAGCTCGAGGTCTAGGATTTGAAGGTTTAGCCCTTTTGTTGGGGTTACCAGAAGATGAAGTAGCAGAAGGTAAAGCAGCAGAAGGTGGTGGCTGAGTAAAATGCTCACGAGTATGATTGGAAAAGTAATCATCCTCATCTATGTTAATGGAAAGGGCGTCCATAAGCTGACATGGAAAGAATTGATCCATGTCCCGATGATGTTTGGGATGTAGCATAACTGAGATTACGAGAGTCACTGTTTCCATCAAAGAGTTCTGCACAAAGCTCTGGAAACAATAACGAGACAATTTTCAAAGAAGCGGCTTCCGGATGTCCCTAAAGCCAATCAATGTAATAAAAGTAATAAAAGAATAAATGAAAATTATATAAACAAAATACATATAAATATGTGTGTGTGTGTGTGTATATATATATATATATATATATATATATATATATTTAAAGTCCCCCCACTCCTCATTTGTTAAGTTAAAAGTATTTGTTTGTAGATTGTAAAGGTTGATAGTTTTGTTTTTTAAGTATAACCATCCTGTGTATTTGACTTTAAGGTTGTCATAGGCATTTTTCAATTGTCTTTGATTCAAATCCACGCCATACGTTTCCTTAATGGTTGTTTCTAACTTGTTCCATGAATGTTTGTGTAAACTCAAACCTTTTCTACCGATAATTTGTACTTCTTCAATACAAGTGTGCAATAAGAATTTTATTTGCTCATTGGTCCATTTATGTTTATCTCTTATTGCTAATAAGAAAAAATAATGGAATACATACTTTAGCAACAAAGATTAATGATATTTCAACATAGTAATAACTTAAATTGATGACATTTCAACAACAATGCATCATGAATAAAAAAAACCATATAAGCAAAGATTATACAATAAAATCAGCAAATAAGCATAAACTTGCATATAAGTTTATGATTTCAACAAATATTTTAGCATATTCAACAAAGATTTAAGCAATAACTTGCATATAAGTTTATGATTTCGGCATATAAGTTTATGATTTTAGCAAACATTGATAACAATTCAACACAAATTATTTTCAACAAAACATAAATAACATACTTTGAGTAGAAAATCTGTTATAAGAACAATTATATCATAAATCAATATTCATATGCATAACTTTCTGATTTCAACAAAGATTTTAGCAAGGATTCTTTACATCTCAGCAACAAAATCGGTACTCAAATCAAAAATCGGTACTCAAATCAAAAATCAGTACTCAACAACATAAAATCGGTACTCAAATCGAAAATCAGAAAAAAAACCCTTACCTGTTGAAGACGATGGCAGTGGAGAAGCAAAGGATGCCTGCGGTCGACTCGGCAGTGATTTGGCGGCAAGCGGCTATCGACTGGCGGAGTGGTCGGTTCTTCAACAGCCTCGTTGACAACGAGAAGAGGGAGAACGAAGAACGAATGCGGCTGTGGAGATTTTGTCCGCTTTTTTTTAAGATTTGGTTAGAAGAGATGAGAAGAGCCAAGCCTAATGTTGTGTGGGGCAGAGAACGGGAAGAGGTTTTTGAGCCCAAAGTCTTTTACAAATAAACTACTACGAAATTAAAAGTGATGCGTGTGTGCTGCGCCACACAACAATAAGAGGTAAGAGGAGGTTTTTTTTTTTTAAAAAAAACAAACACACCTAAACAAAAAAAAATGGACAAAATCTCCACAGCCACATTCATTCTTCGTTCTCCCTCTTTTCGCCGTCAAATTGAGGCTGTTGAAGAACCGGCCACTCCACTACTAATAGCTCAAAGTATGTTATTTATGTTTTGTTGAAAATAAATTGTGCTGAATTGTTATCGATGTTTGCTAAAATCATAAACTTATATGCTAAAATCATAAACTTATATGCAATTTTATGCTTAAATCTTTGCTGAATTCATAAACTTATATGCAAATTTATGCTTACTTGCTGATTGTATTGTATAATCTTTTCTTATATGACTTTTTTTTCATGATGCATTGTTGTTGAAATGTCATCAATTTAAGTTATTATTATGTTGAAATATCATTAATCTTTGTTGCTAAAGTATGTATTCCATATTTTTTTTGTTATTACAATGGGAGATAAACATATATGGACCAATGAGCAAATAAAATTCTTATTGCATACTTGTATTGAAGAAGTACAAACTGTGGGTACAAAAAGGTTTGAATTTGCACAAATATTCATGGAACAAGTTAGGAACAACCATTAAGGAAAAGTATGGCGTGGATTTGAATCAAAGACAATTGAAAAACGCCTATGACAACCTTAAAGCTAAATACATAGGATGGTTATACTTGAAAAACAAAACTGGTAACCTTTACAATCCACAAACAAATACTTTTAACTTATCAAATGAGGAGTAAGAGGACTTTAAAAAGGTGTATATATATATATATATATATATATATATATATATATATATATATATATATATATATTATATTTGTATGTATTTTGTTTATATAGTTGTCATTTATTATTTTATTACTTTTGTTACACTGATTGGGTTTAGGGACATCCAGAAGCCGCTTCTTTGAAAACCGTCCCGTTATTGTTTCCAAAGTTTTATGCAGAACTCTTTAATGGAAAACAGTGTCTCTGGTAATCTCAACTATGCTACATCCCAAACACCATCGGGACATGGATCATATTCTTTCCATGTCGCACCACTAAAGCTTATAGACGCCCTTTCCATTAACATAGATGAGGATGATTACTTATCCAATCATACTAGTGAGCATTTTACTCAACCACCACCTTCTGCTGATTCACCTTCTGGTAACCCCAACAAAAGGGCTAAACCCTCAAATCCTAGACCTCGAGCTCCTAGTGCCTCACCTAAACCTCTATTACTACTGATGATCTAGCACTGGAGATGTAAAAAGCTCTATGCCATTTGACTTAAGGGCCAACAATTCCCCAATGTTTAGAGAAGCTTGAGTTGCTCGAGTTAGGCCTAGTAGACCCTCTACAATTTGCCGTGTATCACATTTTTGGAGAGACCATGAATATAAGAGAGATGTGGGTAAATTTGCCCAATGATCCACATATATTAAGAGGATGGATCGAGATGACAGCTGCTACAAGTTTAGGAGTTTTAAAGGATATAAAGATTGTTCGTTAAGTTTATATGTTTGAGTTGTTTATGTTTTAATTGCATGTGTTGGAACTATGTGGTTATGTTTTTTTGGTTATTTGCTACTTGAATGTTATTTGTAGTATTTGTTAATTGAACTTTATTTTATTTGTTACTTGTGTTTTATGTTATTTTGTACTTGAGTTTTATATTATTTTATTTGGTACTTGAATCTTATGTTATGTTAGTTGGTATTTGAGTTTTATTTTTATGTTATTTGGTATTTGTGTTGATTAATAGGTTTCTAATGGATCACGACAAAAAGATACTTCTCATAATTCTAATGTACTTGTACGTCCGCTACTTTTGGAAGAGGGGTGTCAAACGAGTGCGGGAAAACGATTCGGAAATGACGGGAAATGAATTTACATTAGAGTTACTTCACAGTAATCCTCTACAATGTGTTGAAGTACTACGCATGTCCCGTGAATCATTTGTCCGACTCTGTGCTCATTTTAGAGTAAACTACGCGTTAAAGGATAGCAAACATGTATCGGTTGATGAGAAGATGACTATGTTTTTTATGATGATCGGTCATAAACAACGTTATTTGATTATCAAGCGGAGATTTCAACACTCAAAGCAAACAATGCATAAGTTGTTTTTCATGAAGTGTTGAACAAAATGTTGCTTTTCGCACATGACATTATAGTACCAACTTCTTTTAACCTGAATCCAAACATTCCGGGACATAATTAATAGGAGGCTACGACGGGTGTTCAAAGGAGCAGTTGGTGTACTTGATGGTACTTTGATACATGATGTTGTCCGTGCAAACAAACGAGATTTATATAGAAGTAGGGGAAAAGACGATTCTTACCAAAACGTATTGGCAGTATGTTACTTCAACATGATGTTTACGTTTGTTGTGGCCAGTTGGGAAGGAATAGCACACGAGTCTAGAATATTATCAGAAGAATTAGCAAATCCACATGCACCATTCTCGTTACCACCATCAGGTAAGTTTATGGTTATTTAAATACATTTATCTTAGTTTGAAAAAGAAATGATTTTTATTTATATTTTTTTTCCTTGTTTACAGGTAAATATTATCTTTGTGATGTCGCCTATGCAAACATTCGAGATTTTATTGCACCGTACCGTAATATGAGGTATTGGCTTGGAGATTTCCGTCGAAGACGTGCATTAACGAATAAAGAGAAATTTAACCATGCATGTACATGCAAAACTTCGGAATGTTATTGAGTGTGCTTCGGTGTCTTGAAAGCATGATTCCCTATATTGAAAAGGATGACACCATTCTTGTTGGTTACACAACGAACATTACCCTTGCATGTTTTGTTGGGTTTTCTACACATCAAATACACTCTAAAACTAGGTAGCAGAAAAATCGAAACAACGATATACCTAAGTGTACATGCATCCTATGGATCTATGGCTTCATGCTGATTACATTAACCTAGAAAACATAAAAACAAAGAAGAAAACATACCTCTTATCTAGCCCTTGATCTCCATGCTTGAGATCTTGAACCTCCATGAAGTTACTTGGATGAAAGGACCCAAACTAGAATCCCTCTAATGATATCACACCCAATGACACCAAAGAGTTGAATAAAAATAATTAGAAGGGTCAATTTCCCAAACCCAAATAGGGTTAGAAATCATCCCTAAGAGGGGGAGGAAGACGGGTTGGCGAAACTTCAAGCCAAGGTGCAAGGAGGAATGAAATCCCTAAGGCCCTATTTATAGCCTTGGATGCCTCCTTAGGTTTAGTAATCCTTCCCATGTGGTTGTAGAATGACTCTCTTTCCTTCAATTTGCAAGCCATTAAAGCTTTAAAGACCTCATAGTTTTCTTGACGATCTCTCTTGTGAAACTTTTCCACAAGATCAAAGTTCATTTCGTATGGCCAGTAGTCCTCATAGAACTTTTGCAACTCGGGAATCATGATGGCAACCATGATTCGAGCAACCTTTTTCGTGTCGTCATATGATATTTCTTGGAGGTTGCTATTTCTTAAGGAGTGGTGGTGGCTTCATCGATCTCGATAAGTTGTTTCTCAAGGACATACTCTTTGGCCTCGTATCGAAGAGCCATCTTGATGTTGCGTATCCAATCATTGTAGTTGGTGCCATCCAACGTCACCTTGGACGCGATCGAGAGTAGTGAAAAGTTGTGGTTAGAGTTTAGAGAAGTAGAAGTATCACCAAAAGTAGACATCTATAGAGAAAAAGAAGTTCTAGTTAGATGACAATAATCCTTAATATTTTTACCCATAATTAATATTTAAGGCTAGGATCCAATTTAACAAGTCACAACTAAGAAGAGAGATGTAGTAATCTTATCGTGAATTTATGAAGGTAGGTAAAATCAATTCACAAATTTCGAACTATGAAACTCCTAGATCTTTTGAGATTCATTGAATCTATCAATGACATGTTTAATCTTAGATTATGCTCTTTTATTTGTGACTGGGATACCGAGAATCACAAACAAGATGTGAATAACCATACAAATATGCTTGACACTTTCGATGTCATTTTATCATCTCTAATTAATGTACCGGTTAGCTACATACACTCTCCATTAACAATGATAATATTGAGATGCTCATTATTACTCTTTATAATAACTATTAGTGTGCCGCTTAAGCACACACACACTCCACTAACTACATGTAAAGCATAATGTGCAATTTTATGGATAAACATACTTTTCACATTTTTTCTAAAGTAACTAAGTGTGAGATTTGTTTTGAAATAATTTAGTTACTTTGTATAATTATACTTATTAATGAGATTATGTCCTATCAAACTCGTTCAGTTAACGACCCTCCACCATATAAGAGAGTAGCGGGTAAGAGTTGATACCAGATAACGGTTATTTATAGGCAGTTTCCTTAAACTCCCTTTATAGTATGGCTTCGTGAATGAGGCCTACAATTAATTTGACTGACTTTGTCTTATATATATAATAATTAAAATTTTAATAATATATCATATAAGGTGTATTTTAAAACTTTTCTAAAATACTAGGTTTAATTTTAATTTTTTTGAAAGTAATATAAAAATTAATTTAATTTTAAAATTAAACCAAATTTGATTTTATCTTTGTCTTTTAATTAATTATTAATTAAATTAATTTAAATCATATAAGGATTAAATAATTATTTACTATTAAACTATTAATTAAATAATTTGAATTTAATCCTAATCATTACCCAACTAGGTTTTCGAAAATTAAGGGGTAGAAGGATTATTCAACTTTAATTATTATATTTTAACAAATTAAAACAATAATTATCAAATCAGGAAACCCTATTACCCCTACCATATTTTCGAAACTTATGGAGGAAGCAAGGGTTTCAAGAACCCTTGCCCAAGTCGAAATTTATATCCCTTATGGTTTAACTTCAATAAACCCTAATTTGATCTATTCACCTATTATGCAAATCAATTGAAAACATATGGCTCTGATACCAATGTTAGGTTTTATAGGCTACAAAATCATGTGGCGGAGAATAACTTAACCCTTAAGTTCACATGGAACCTAATTGGATCTATGTTTTCACTATTGAATGCTATAAACTATGAACATCAAAAGAACCCTATGGAAACCCTATTAATTTTGAAAAACATAAAATGTTAGGGTTTACATACCTTTTATTTATTGTTGTAAATAACGAATCAAATCCTTCTTCAATAGATTTTGGAAGCAAGCACCATAAATATCACGTCTCTGATGGTTCACACTCAAACCCTAACAACTAGGAAACTTGAAGAGAGAGGAGAGGGGAGGTATGTTTTCGGCTATCCTTTTGAGAGAAGTAATGGCTGAAATATGAAGGGTGTAAGTCCCTATTTATAGTTGTTAGGAAAACCCTAAATAACCCTGACTTGATTACAATAATAATATTTCAAATCAGGTAATTATCTGGTTTCCTAATTATCTTCAAGGGATATTCTATAAACCCTAGAATATTCCCCGAAAACCATCCACCTCCTAAGGGGAAGGTTCTGGAACCCTTTTGTTCAACTATTGAACAGTTACAACTTATGTCCTTGTACTTTTAATTAATCCAATTAATCCTAAAATTAATTATCATTAATTTCTAATTAATTCTTAATTAAATAATACTATTTATAATTAATATATTATTCTCATGGTATATTAATAAATCATTTATTGCTGATTATTAATCATATAATAAATCACTCTCTCTCTCTCTCTCTCTCTCTAAAAAAATCATCCTATTCAATTACTAGTTTTGAGGGCAACCTAAAAAGGCTTTGCTAATAATTCAAGTATATACCGATTTAGTAATTGCTTAGACACCTAATCCAACACTTATAAACCTTAAGGCCTCCCTTATCACTAGCCTCCATTCCCCCTTTCTGTCATTTCGAAAACCCTAACCTTCTAGAGATTTTTTTGAACCTTTAAAGTGTTCTTGGAGCATTGTGGAAGAAGGAGAAGCACACCATTGAGGATTGTTGGGCTTGGAGCTTGTAGATCCAGAGTTTCCTTCACATTTACAAGCTTTTGGAGGTATAAAGTTCTCAACTTGATGGGTTTATTTTCTTGATCTTGTTTGTTGGTGAATCCTTATGCGTGTTTGGTCCCATGGCATTGGTTCTTGTGAGTATGAGCTACTCCACAACCCTTAAGCATCATTTCTAGCCATTTCTGAGGTTGTTAAGTCATAAAAATCAGATCTTTAGGGTTATAGTCCAACATGCATTAATTGTTGGTCATTTGTGAAGTTATG